AGGTCAACTCGACCATGAATGAGTACCTGGTGTGGTGTATTATACATAAGTTCTGGGGAGCCAAAGTCGGCCAGGTGTGGCACTGGCGTGGCCGCGACACCCTCGTTCATGCACTGGCGATGAAATCCAGCGATGAAGAATGAGTCTTAGGCCAACGTGATAATGTCACACACTCCCCGTGACATCATACTTGTGATGTCGCGCGTAATGATAACATGAGATGGCATCCTGTATTTTTAGCGGGAATTTCAACTGCTCACAATCTGAGGGGATTGCCAGTGTCCTACCCGAAGTGAAATTCACTTTATGTTGTTGACAGCCTTTGCACATTTTAGTAAATATCCTGCAAGCTTTTTTCTGTTTATAAAGACGTTTTGGCCATTGTATATGAAGTCATCGGCATATTGCGTAATCTATAACCTTACTCAATTCATGAACCTTGTTAACTCTTAATGTGACAACATTGATAATGTCGTTGCTGCTGGCGGTTTGACGTAGACCTTTGGGCCTGTGCTCAGCAACTGTGTTTACATTTTTTTAAATAAATACCTGGTATGTATGCATGCATAATACTTAGAGCAAAGCGTAGTACTCGGATAATACGTCGACAAAACAACTGAATAGCTAAATCGCTTCGAGCTGAATCTCCAATTGTACCTCCTTCATTGGCCGTGCGAAATCACAATTTGGAGCACACTCGTTCGGAGTGTTTCTGTAGCGCTCGAAAGTGACTGCCGGGTCTACTTTGCGCACCACACAGTACCTGGAGTCGGTGCAGCCCCTCTTGGACGAGAAGAAATTCCAGCGCATGGAGGGACTTGCGCGCGACTTTGAGAAGAACCTGGGCCCCAAGCTGCAGTGGTACCTGAAGCTTAAGTCGTGGTGGGCCTCAAACTACGTGAGTCGTGTTTTTTTTGTTGCCGTCCACCTCAACCGTCGCGCAAACGTTTTGCCGCAACTTTGAAATCTTCTTGGTTCTTTCGGTAAAGTCACGTAGAATGGAAATAATAAAAATAAAACATGATGAAACAATTCTCACGACGTTTCGGCCACAGGTCTGTCCAGAAGACAGTCTGACTCTGTCTTCTGGACAGACCTGTTCTTCACCTGAGGACGGCTGCTTGCGTTGTGGCCGAAACGTCGTGAGAATTGTTTTATCATGTTTTATTTTTAGTATTTTATTACTTCCCTTCTACGTGACTCTACCGAAAGAACCAAGAAGATGAATCCCTGCAGTCACGAAAGCTTAAATCGAAATTTAACTTAGAAAATATATCAAAGGGTAAAAGTGCAGCACTGCAATTGCTTTTTGCTCACGTCGCTGATCGTGTAGAAGGGCCTCTGCTTGCGGGAGTTTGAGAGGGCACCTAGAGCGAGTATTTGACCTACTTGATACAGAAATTGCTGTGACGGTTTCACCTGAAGACGGAAGCTTGTGTTGCCTCCGAAACGTCGTGATTTATTTATGTTTCTTATTTAACCTACGTGACTTTACCGAAAAAACCAAAGAGTATGAATCCTTGCAGTCACGTAAGCTTCAAATCTAGAGTTATTTTACCAACTCTTTTACGCTTGCTTGGATGTCTTTGAATAGGTGGGAAAATACACACTTTGCCCATTTGACTATTTATGTATGTATATACAGGTAGTCCTCTACTTAGGATGGAGATGCGTTACGACGACCCCATCGTAAGTCAAAAATATCGTAAGTCGAAGATGGCCTCGCCTACCCAGGAGTGGTTAAAGAATGGTGATAATTTAGCAAAACAGCAATTTACAGTACCGTATTGTATAAACTATATACTGTATGGTATTTATATAATTACAATACTGTATTGCACAGTAAAATGTAAAGTAAAAAAACAAGGTAAATTCGTAGCCTACCTATATGAACTGCAATTTAATAGAAAGTTTTTTTCAGGAAACAATCCTATCTGCTATAAAAACGTTTAACATGCATTGAACGTATCGTATCGTGGTAACCTTAAAATGAAATCGCCAAAGCTACGTATCACACATGCATTGAACGTGTCGTAACGTATCATATTGTACTGTGCTCACCAAGATTCTGTCTGTCGTCTGCATACTTGAACGATGTTAGGTTGTTGATGGCAATTTTGTCATATCGCCATCGTAAGATCGAAATATCGTAATTCGGGGACTACCTGTATATTGAATCTTTTGCACCATACGTAGTCAACCGTGCACATTGGAGATGCTCCTTAAAATATTGCTGTAAGTTGTCTATTAAAGCAAAGTATACAAAACAGGGCTTAGAGATCGTGGTTTTGACTGGAATATCATGGGGCAAGGTTTAGTAAATCGGAGCTGTTTACATATCTAGATCCAAATCAAACTTTTCAAAGATAATAAACCACAAGTTTAATATTAGTATACTTTTATTTAGCCAGGAATGGCCCTCACTGAGTCTCAAGACTCTTCTTCAGGAGGGTCCTGCCGCGTATATGTGCAGTAGGAGTTGACGTTGTTGTGTGTAATCCCAAGATTGAGTATTTTAATGTAATCTTGCAGTATTGGGACGTTTAGCCAACACCAGTCACATTCTGTGTGCGAATACCCTGTGAGAAACCATGTTAGAACAAAGGGAGAACTCTCAAACTCCCACAGAATGGGGCACCCAAGTCAGAAATCAAACCCATGCACTTGTTGCTGCGAGGCGTAAGTGTTACCACTGCGTCCTTCCTGCCCCCCCCACCCCCGTTGAAAAAAATCACGCGTATGTGTTTGTTTTGCATGTACCGGTGTTCTTGTCACAGGTCAGCGACTGGTGGGAAGAGTACATCTACCTGCGTGGGCGCGGACCCATCATGGTCAAACAGCAACTACTACGCCACGGTAAAGATGCGGTGGAACCACAGACATCCAAGATCCTAGTTTTGAAGTTTTCGTGACTGCAAGGATTCATACTCTTTGGTTTGAACTCCAATCGTTGCTCGGGGTAACAACGCGACCTCCCAGCCCACACCCCCTCCCCCCCATCCCCCCGACGCTATATAATTACTCGTCACAGCCACCTCGAGACACACTTAAGCGGTTGTGCTTTCACCAAGTTGTTCCCACCTAAAGAAGGACGCTTGTGTTGCCCCGAAACGTCGTGATTTATTTTATTTTTTTACCTACGTGACTTTACCGAAAAAACCAAAGAGTATACATCCAAGATCCTTTGTTTCACACAATTGCAGTATATGGGACGTGACCGGGGG